GTATCAGGGCTTCTGGGGGCTCCCTCTCAAAGAGGTGAAAAATGGACCTTCAGATTTGGATCACCTGAGAAGGTTCAGAACCCTCAGGGACTCTTATATTTCTCAACTGTAGATTTAAAGTCCGTCTACTCTCAAGCCCCAACAAAAGTTCTGCATGGGCTTAAGTCCTTCCCTTCCTCCCATGTACGCCCCCACCAAAACTTTAAAGCCTGCAGCAACTGGTAGGAGCTTCAAACTACTAAGTCCAGGGCATTCCCTGGGGCTTACAGCATGAAGTAAAAGCATCCAGAACTTCGGGAGCCAGTTCCTGGAGGGCTTCCTGGGACATCTGGGAGACTCTGGTTACATGGCAGACCGCACAGATCGTTGGTATTCAAGCACATACAGGGAGCTGATATTTCGAAGACAACCTTACATTGGTTTAAGGCCAACCTGAAAATGTCTCCCAACTATTGGTGTCAAAGGATTTGGAGACTGAGTCGGAGAGCTGGGGGAACCATAGTGAAAACACCTTACTTCCGTTAGTTTAGCTACTCATAAAACTATCTTAAGAGTCATAGAAGAAAAGGGGAGGGGGCAGGGTAGTTACATGCGGTAGAAGTCCTTAGGTACAATGAGGGAATCAGGTCAAGGGTTAAAGGAAAGGCTGGTGGGGGGTGACTGTACGAGTATAGGTGGGGGATTAGCTGAGGTTTTGCAGTGAGAATAGAAATTATTGCCTCATTGAAGGGGAAACACTGGGGAGGTTTTGGGGGGTCAGTATGAACATTTCTCTGACTTGCCTAAGAAAATGACTGGGACAGGCCTGGGTCAGCTTTGGAATCTACTGTAGAGGAAATTCAGGCATGGGCAGTAAATACCCATCTTGATTATATTTTTCTCTTTAGAGTCTTGTGGGACTTAGTGTTAGATTCAAGGCCCTTAAGTCCCTACTTACAATATGCCCGTATGGACCATCTCTCCATGGTGTCCATTTCTCTCGGAAGTGGTTTAGAAACAACTACTTCAATTATAAACAAAAACGGAAAGCAAAACAAACAAGCAAATTACCTCAGTTCTGCAGAGAATGAAGGAAAACAGCGGGGAGAAAACCAACAGGAGATGGCAAGGTTAGGGCTTTCTAAGCGAACACCCATCTGCCGTACTGATTCCAAGACTATAATTTCATAAGATAGTTATTGAGCACCTATAATGCACTAGAGATAAGCACTGAGGATGAAGAGGGGACACGGGCAAAGCCATACCTTCAAGGAGCTCTCAGTCTGTAGGAGAAGACTCATGAATTATAATACAATGGCATGACAATTGGGCTTGGGAGTAGAACAGCCTGCGCCATAGAATAACGCCTATAAGCACAGCTGCGGGTCTCTGCTGATAAAGGATGTGTCTGGGATCAGCTGCACTTCTGGTCCTCCATTCAAACTGTAAGTTTAGATAGAGAAAGGGTGCAGCTGAGCTCTGCAATGGATTCAGGATACAGCTGCTAAATCTAACGACGGTTCTTTTGGCATTGCTAACCGGGCGGGATTCTGCCTGGCGGCCAAAGGCTGCCAAATCCTGATTGAAGACATTGCCTTTCCAAAGAAAAATAGCCATAATGAAAATAGCTTATGTCTTACATAAACTCTTAGTAGTATAACAAACACATTACGTTTACAGCTTATTTTTTTTTTTTCAACGTTTATTTATTTTTGGGACAGGGAGAGACAGAGCATGAACGGGGAAGGGTCAGAGAGAGAGGGAGACAGAGAATCGGAAACAGGCTCCAGGCTCTGAGCCATCAGCCCAGAGCCCGACGCGGGGCTCGAACTCACGGACCGTGAGATCGTGACCTGGCTGAAGTCGGACGCTTAACCGACTGCGCCACCCAGGCGCCCCCAAACACATTACGTTTAAATACGACCCATAGTATTTTGTTACATGTGGACCGTCACACTGACTTGAAACAGTTACTTCTTGCTGTGTGTCTTGTTTCCATGAGTTTTATAATTTTAGTAGCACCAATTTGCCTCCACCCAATGATAAAATGATTAAGGCAAAACTCTCCTGAGCCTTGGCTTCACCGACAACAAAATGGCGACAAGAAAATCCCAAACACCAGCTAGCAGTATGGACAAATGAGATACATGTGAAATCTACGTGAAAGCAAGAGCTTATCCGAAAAACTGCCCCCGCTTTGAACCCGAACAAGAAGTCTTAGAGCTTTGGATCTTGATCCTGGAGGAGTGTAAAGACTAGATGAATCTTGTCTGTAGGTAAGATTTACATGAAGAGGGTAGGGAGGGGTGAGAGAGAAAAGTGCCCTGACGGTGACAAAGTACCTTTCGGATATCCAGCACTGAATTGGCTCATCAGCCTGGAACCCCCTACCTCTTACCCTAGGCCATCCTCTCACCTTCTCTGTTACTCACTTGGTTAAAAATGTTGACCTTTCTGGATGAAGGGATACTACATCAGTGGAAGAAAAAGGGGAGGGCCTGGAAATCATGAGCACCTTCGCTGTAGAAAAGGGTTTTTGGGACTTCAAGGACAGCATCTAGTACAGCATATGTGAGGTGTTTGGAGCCCGACTCCAGACCAATAATCCATGGTAATGAACGGTAAGATACTTTCCATGTATTATGACAAGGGTATATAAACCTGCCCATTTTTACACATTAAAAAAAATCCAGTCCCTATATGTTTGGACACAAAGAACTATCTAATTTCAAGGAAAAGATTATGGGCTAAAAAAACATTTACGTTAAAAATCTTAGTACAACAATTTAAAAATATGGAGTTGGTCAGTGAATTAAAGTGACTGGCAAAACCTTTCGCTGGATAAAACAAAGTGATAACTTTAAAAAAAGTTTATTTGAAACAGAGAGAGAGAGAGAGAGAGAGAGAGAGAGAGAGAGAGAGCACACAAGCAGGGGAGGGGCGGAGAGAGAGGGAGAATCCCAAGCAGGCTCCACGTTTAGCATGGAACCCCATGCGGGGCTTGATCCCATGACCACGAGATCATGACCTGAGCTGAAACCAAGAGTTGGCTGCTTAACCAACTGAGCCACCCAGGCGCCCCCAAAGTGATAACTTGATTGTGTTGAATGTTCTTAATTCATTTGGTAGTTCAAAATTTAATTGTATTGCTTAATACAGTCTGAAATCTACACGTGGACAATTCCCAGCCAACAGATTTATAGTTGGGACACTTTCTCCAAATGGGACAAGATATGTATATTACTTTTTACACATTATTTCTACTTTATTTGTAAGTTATTCAATTGATTAAATGTTACATTTTAGGATATGTGTTGGTTTTCCCACATGTGCCAGAATGGTGACTAAGGACACAAGTGAACGTTTAACTTTTTAAATGTATACAATAATCATTTTGATAAAAAGTAATGGCTTTCAGTTATGCGAAAGAGATTTACAAGTCAGCAAATCTAGAATTAGTAACGCACCAAAAAATTCAAGAAACCAACCTCAGTAATACAGATGTCTATTTTATTAAAAAAGTTACAAACAGGTGGACTGCAGGGTCATCTTACAAAATGACAAGAATGAAATCTATTGGAAAAATTTTACTTTTACAAATCTTTATAGGTCATTGTTCAATGCTTGTACTTGTTACTTGAGATTTTTACCTTTCATTGATAAAGTTACAGTACGTTAGATCCATAATAGGTTACATGATTTTATTTGCAGAGCCCTACTGCAGTGATTTGAACAACTCCTAAACGAATGCCATAGTAAAGACGAGACATATATTGCATTTAATATTAATTTATTATCCTAATAAGCAACTTGACATGCAATCTATTGAGGAAGCTAAAATAACTTTTGGTCCCTTTTCTTAAAATGTGCTGAAGAAACCGCCTTTAAATCACTTTCCCCTGATTCCTATGATCCTAAGTGAATTCAAGATAAATTTGTTGCTGAGGTCAATGCTGTGGGGGGAACTATCCATAGGAAAGAAATACTGGATATATAAAAAAAAATCCATCTGCAGAAAATTTTAAGTCATCATGAATTATTTGATTCCTTCAGAATTTCACACAGCTAATAACGATGAACCATGATCACTTAACCTACTCTGAACTGAGTGTTTGGTTTTAAGTTTGGTATTAAAGTGCAAACTTAAAATAGGTATTCATTTCAAGCAGTTTATAAATAAGAAACAATGTTTCAGTTGCTTCCACCCTTACAATCTCACCATAAAATTCAAAATCTAAGATCAAAAGTTCACTTTGAGGGAATTTGATTAGGAATCAAATGCAACACGATTTTAAAAAAGGAAATCAAAGTTTAATCAATTTCTACGCAATAATTAATGGTCATGCTGACCAATAAATCACATGAATGTAGATATCACTTTATTGGAACATCACACACAATATAAATTTAAAATTGCCACACCCTTCCATAAACCATCACTGCATATATTAGAGCTTTCCTTGACAAAGTTATTGAGCTAGTATTATAGATCAAAAGTATAGTTTTGGTTTTTTGTTTTGTTTTTATTTAGAAGCATGTTCAAATGACTAAAGCTGGGCTCCTAAACTCGAGAACTTTGGTGCAGTAGGTGAGCTGCAGTTACTAACTTCTGCAAATTAAAAGCACACAACTACAACCAAATAAAAACCCAACAAGAAAATACTGTCAAACTTACAAAATTTTAAAGTCATTGCTAGAAAAAGCGCTTGTGGTCAAGATGTTAAAACTGAACCAAAAGATTACTCTTAAGAAAGTTTCCTTTCTGTTTCTATACCTGTGTTACTGTTAAAATGTTCAAGTATTCAGACAAAATGTGCTGATTAGGTAAACAACATGGAAGGCAATGGCTATTAGAAGCACATTTGGAAAAAAAAAAAAATCCAAAAAACAAACAAAAAGCCCAGAGACTTGGCGCTATCCTCTCCTGTTACACAGATTTTTGTCTCTACTACGAACATGCTTCTTGAGAAAGAACTAAAAAGCAACTGTGATAGTGCAAGAAAACTTTAACAAATATTGCTTTAAACTATTATTCAGAAAGACAAATATTAAGAACTAGAAAGCGTATATGATTTTATTTGAATTCAATTTTACATGTGCAGAAGTCTACTAGATGTCAATTACAAGCCTGACAGGCAAAGCTGAGCGATCTCTGTTTAGGTATACAATTAATTTACCATGGATACAATATCCCTTTTCAAAGGCATTGCTAAGTAGGTCATAACTAAATTTAGAACTTCACAGAAAGGAAAATGTTACTGCTGCAATTCGATGCTGTAAATGAGATTAACACATGTGAAAACCTAATGGAATCAAATGCTTAACTCTTCAGCTAGATGCTCTACAGTCAATTTCAAATATCAATTGTAACTTTCAGAACATGTTAATTACAAAAACACATCACAAACTGCACTTGAAGAAAAGGGATACTCCATCCATATAGGTAAAACGTGATCTTTAGTTTCTTTTTACAACACTGCCACACGTAAACCAAGTCTCAAAGTATTAACCAACCATTTAAAGGAGAAAGATTTTACAAATAGAATGAAGCACTGGTGCGAGGTAATATACAGAAGTAACCATTTGTTTAAGGCTCAATTTTTTTCTCCATTATAACTTTCTTTTAAAAGGCATTGAGTAGGTAATACTGAGTTTGAGTATTTAATAAATACAAGTTGAGAAACTGATTAAAGAAATCAATTAAAATATTAAAAATTAATTCTTGCATATTAGCCATCAATAAGAACTTAGAAAGCTACAAAAGGACTGATTGATAAAGAACAGATTTTAAACATATGGTAAACGTGCTAAGCATTCCTGTTGAAGGTCGATGGATCTTGAAGGCCAAAGACCTTATGCACTTAATTAGATGTATGGCAACATGCTGTAATAGAGACAGGTTTACCAAGGCTCAGTTCTGCAACCCAGGTTGTAAAGTTCTCCAAAGCAGCATCTGTGCAAATTTCCTCTGAGTTTTATCTGCAATTAAGATTAAAACGTTGTAAAAAGATAGAAATATAGATCACAGTTTAAAATGAGAACACTGACAACAGGTCTGTATACACATGGAACTGGTACCAGAATAAGTATCTGAATGTGGAATTTCACTGTGTTCCCCATCAGTTTCAATTAAAAAGTGATTTTATGTGGTCAAAAAAAGCCACTGAGGGGCGCCTGGGTGGCTCCGTCGGATGAGAGGCCGACTTCGGCTCAGGTCACGATCTCGCGGTCGTGAGTTCGAGCCCCGCGTCGGGCTCTGTGCTGACAGCTCGGAGCCTGGAGCCTATTTCAGATTCTGTGTCTCCCTCTCTCTGACCCTCCCCTGTTCATGCTCTGTCTCTCTCTGTCTCAAAAAAATAAATGTTAAAAAAAAATTTTTAAAAAAAGTCACTGAAAATTAGCAACAGACACTAATGACGCACTGGATATAGTCTATTGTGTGTATGTAACTCTGGCTTATTTTTAAATACGTTATTATACTTTATACAATATCAACAATGTTTTTACTGGTTTAAAAGATTTTACAGTATAGGGGCGCCTGGGTGGCGCAGTCGGTTAAGCGTCCGACTTCAGCCAGGTCACGATCTCGCGGTCCGTGAGTTCGAGCCCCGCGTCAGGCTCTGGGCTGATGGCTCAGAGCCTGGAGCCTGTTTCCGATTCTGTGTCTCCCTCTCTCTCTGCCCCTCCCCCGTTCATGCTCTCTCTCTGTCCCAAAAATAAATAAACGTTGAAAAAAAAAAATTAAAAAAAAAAAGATTTTACAGTATAAAAGTGGCAGATAGTACTTCTACTTGGAATCTGATTTCTTCATATTTGTCATGGGAAATGGCACTAGAATTAAATGCATATTAATTATGAGCAAACTTGACAGTATGCACAACTTTTCAAAGTTTAGGGTTTTTTAGAAATTTTAAAATAAGAAAATGCTATTCCATCACGGTCTAGCTATTGAGCACCTCCTAAGTGCCCTGACTTGGGTTAGATGCTAGGTGACAGCAGTAGTTCAGCGGCTGCCATTCCGGCTGCCCTTTTTTCGGACATCCCTCCCCCCCCACCCCAGCCACAGGCATTTCTATGATCGGGGTTTCTCTGTCTCTACTCTTACAGTTGATATACTTCTGCCCTTCTAATTAATACCGAGGGAAAAGAAAATCTATCACTCAGACACCAAGTCCTTTAACTGTGTTGGATCATCAAATGGCTTCAAAGGGAGTAGAATTACATTACTCTTTTAATGTAAAAAGTAAAAGTTGTTAAATAAAGCCAGAAACAAAGAGCAGAATAGGGACTATGAAAGAATGCCAAGTGAAACCAATTTAAGATCATCTAAAGGCTCTACCAATATTTATACCTGCGTAATTTTAATTTCATATGACACCTACACTTCTAGTAGTGTCCAAAGAGCCTGAGAGAACTCTTTATTAGCAGCTATATCATAAAAATGACTTTTAAAGAATGTCTCTCTGCTCCTTATTGAAATTCTGCCACCTAAACACGTGAGGAAAAATAGAAACATTTGCCTCCTTTGAAATTATTATAATACATTTTTTCCAATTAAAATTAAACCTTTTTTGCATCAAAGTAAATTGTTAATTAGGACACTGGTTACTGAACCTTGAGCGAGTCCAGTTTCCTCCTCATCAAAATAACCATAAAAATTCTTTCCTCAAGGACTGTGATAAGTGTCACATAAGGTGATATGTGACAGCACCTTACAAAGTATGCAAATGTCAGGTACCTCTCCTCATTTCTCGACTATGTTATAAATTCTAGAAGACCAGAATTATGTCTTTGATATCCAGACTAAAGACCTCTATATTTTGTAGCCTTGTTTGAATTTTTATACCTATTATGAACACAACAGCATTTCAATATATATACGCATTTCAATGGGAAGACTTTTCAGTAACTCAGACTAGACTTTTCTCAATTGATCTCCATTAATACCATTTGTTGTAATTTTTAATCTACATTTTTCAAAATAAATTATAAAGAGTTTGAGATTTTCAAATATGATTACGTCTCTTAAATAGTGAAAACTTGTAATATATGGTGTTTTAATAGCTCAGGCATTCTCTGAAATCAAATTGAGGACGTAGTAATTATTTGTTTCTAGCCAAAATAAACACTAAGAATACAAACTGGCTTATTAACTGTAATCGACATTAAATAAAAGGTGATACATACATCATTTCCCACCCTCTAAAAGCTTGATTAACATTTGGTCCATCCACATTCTGCAGGATGACAATACTCCAGTGAAATCAAGAGACCTAGATAAATCTCAGGTGAGACTCAACAATATTAATATGAGGCACACCATTAAACAAAGTATTAATACCAGCTATTTTTCAGAAGAGTAATAAACTTTGATTCTTTGCAGTAATAAATCCCGAAGCAAAAGCTTGCATTAAGCAGAAAGGACAGTCTCCCTCAGATTAGAATTTCGCAGAATGCGAAATACAAATGTTATTGCTCCACACTGTGACAGGAAAATTTTCAGTGTACTAACAACTCTCATTCATTTAAAAAACATTCCAAGCTTTAAAGGCAGCTGGTCAAACTCATACTTTTGAACTCCCAGGATATCACATCCAGACAAGTTGCAGAAGTAGAACTTGCTGCTTGTGAGACAGAACACAAGTGATCCTTGTCCTCAACTCTCGAGTTTCCAGCAAGACACCCAACAAATCTCAACTCTGGAAGCTTCTGCTCAAACTCTTGCTTAACTGGTTTCACTTTTTCACTTTCTTTCTAAATTAGATTTTGTTAAGGAAGAGCGCACGCACGCGCGCGCACACACACACACAGTCTGAAACAACAGTCCAAACCTTTTGCTCAAGAAATTATGAAACAGGGTCTACCAAGCAGGGCAAATTGGTACCCGAGAGTACCAAACACAGAACTTAAAGAACAAAGATTGTTATTTCTGTCAGCCTGAAGAAAGGGGAGATTCTTGATTCCAGACCAGCACATCATTTCACGTGGCAGCAGAATGCCTGGGATATTAACAAAGACTCCTGAAACGCATAGCAGTCATAGAATGTCTTTTTAGCTTGGCTAGATTTACCATTTCTAAATACAATGGTATTTCCTAGCATTCTTTTTAGCAACTATCAATGTGCAACCATAATCAATTTTAATTTTTTTCCAGTTTTAGACATGTGATATTCTGGGGATTTAACTGAAGGAATTTTTTTAAGAAATGAATTTCCCATCACATTTTTTACTTGGCATTTCTATATCCAAGTTAAATATCAGTTATGTTAGCAAAACACTAGGTTAGAATTCTGTTGATAGATGTTATGTTTTTGTTAAATATCTTGTTTCTTTCTCTAATTTGCATAATACTCATGAAACTTGTTGGCGGGTAGAGAGGGGGACTAGGTCACCAGAAGTGTTCACCTGTCATCCATTAAACATAAAGAGCACATGGCATCGCATCTTTGAATGAAAGTGGAACCATGCTTTTAGGAGAATATGCACTCTAAAAGTTTATGGGAAACCAAGAGTAGAAAGGAAGGGATAAAATACTTTTCTTCTGTCCTAGACCTGAAGTCTCCTTAAGTTTAAACTAAAGAATTCAATTCTGAGATCTCAAGTAGTAGGACCTGTCCACTGCTAATAAGCAGAGTGTGAGCCTAATGATCTGATTCCTACTGCCAGCTTCGAATTAAACCAGGTAAGGTACTACTCCCCTCGACTCTAAACAGCTTTTTCTGAACCTGATGCTCTTACAACTGTGGCTAACCAAAAGAATTTGTGAGCATGTTTTCGGTAGGGTAAATTTTTCCGACAGCTGACAGGACTTAAGTTTTTCTTGGTGATATTATCTTCTGGATTTTAGAATTCCACCCAGAAGTAATCCCACGAGGAGAATCTTTCCTGTAGTATGGCTAGAATACTTCCTTGGTGGCAATTCTCCAACTCTATGATGCAATTTTTGTTAATTCTACTGATGGTTCATTCTAAGCCAGAGAGGTAATGGAGTAAAACTGAGTGGCTCATATGCATTTCATTCTGCAATAAAAGCCTAATCTTGAGGTTAAAAGGAAGCAATTAAAGAGGGAACAGATACACAAAGAGTCATTCTAATCACCAGACACCTCCACACCCAGAGCAGGTCTAACTAGGCATCTATTTCACACTGAACAGTCCCAGACCATGAACCTTTTGGCAGGGACAGGGGGTGGGGGGTGGTCTGGGAAAATTAGCAGAGGCAGAAAGGATGCTTTTACCCCAGGCCCACTGACTGCAGTTCCTTAGGGCACACACTACCCCCCAAAGCATGCTCCCCGCTCCATCCAGGGCCGGGCTCTATTTTGGCTCACCATGTGAGCTGGATGACAAATGAGCATTTCAAATAAGCTGTTTTCTTACTCAAGGTGATATGCAAAATAGGGCAGGGAAAAAAAAAAAAAGGAAGTATCTAAACTGTAACTTCTGCAACAGAATTCCACCCCAGTGTTTTACTGATACGATTAATATTTAACTTGGATATGAAAATGCCAGCATTTGAAAGTACACGATGTAATTTAATTTTCATGATTTTCCCTTTGCCATTTGCTAAATCCTCGGCATATCACATCTAATTAAAAGCTGGGGGAAAAAAAGATTAGAAACAATTCTGATTCCACATATTTATTTTAAAAACCCTGAAAATGCTAATCAATCCCACTGTGTTTAGAAATGGTAAGGCCAGCTAGACTAAAATGACATTCATAGATAGTTCAGCCTTTCAGGAGCCTTTGTTAACATCCCGGGCATTCTGCTGCCACGTGAAATGATGTGCTGGTCTTGAATCAAGAATCTCGCTTTTTCTTCAGGCTGACATATATAATGAACTGAGGGTGACATAAATAATGATCTTTGTTCTCTCAGTTTGATTGCTGGTGTTTGGTACTCTTATGCACCATTTACTCTCTTTGGGAGAACCCATTCCATAATACCCAGAGAAAAATAGGATAAAATCTTGCAGGAGACCTTCAATCTGTAGTGAAGAACACCTTTTTTATTCTGGTTTTCTTTCTCTCTTTTTATTTTTTTTTTTTATACCTTTCATCAATACTGGACTGAGATACAGAAATCCTTGAGAAATAATCTTTAAAAAAATTCTATTCGCCAAAAGGTTATTTACCAAACTGTCACATTTAAAGGATAACTTTATGGCATTTCCCACCTTCCTTTCAGGGAATCAACAGACTACTAATTTACAATATTATTTTGCCCCTTTTTGGCATTCCTTCTGTTTGGAAGTCACCTCTACCCCCACCCCCACCCCCTCCAATCCTACCCATTCTCCAAGACCTGAGTCAAATGCTACTTGTGCCCCAATCCCTCTAAATCGGTGGTTCTTAGCCAGGGGTGACTTTGCCCCCTAGGAGACATTAGGCAAGGTTTGGAGATATCCTTGCTGGTCACAACTGAGGGGCGGGGAGAATGCTACTGGCATCTAGTAGGTAGAGGCCAGGGATGCTGCTAAGCATCCCACAATGCATAGGGCAGTTCCCATAACAAAGAGCTCAGAATACTGAGAAACCTCCTCTAACTGACCATAGTCTCTCCTTTCCCTGAATGCCCACAGCGCTGTGATTTGCTTCTTTTATAGTATTATGGGATGATTAACAAAACACCCATCATTCTCTAGAACAGTAGAGCAAAAGAGCCAATTGTCAATTATTTACAGCAATATACAGAGGAGCTATGATGTAGTTAATAAAGGCAAAACAGGGCTTCAACGCTGACCTGGGTTTCTATTACACTGCTCCTGCACAGTAAAGAAGTCTCCCAAGGCCCTTGATGGCAGGCTCCTGGGGTAAGGAAACCTGCCACGAAAGCAGCACATAAAGAATCTGGGTATCCAAAGGCACTCTAAGACTCCTGCCAGCAGGAGGGTGAAAGGTGAGGAAACAATCCTGGGAGCCATGCAGATAAACAGGTGTTGGGCAAGAGACCCAAACTGAAGGTGACCCAAATTGAAAGGTGGTTAAGAAATAAACATGAGGAGGGGCGCCTGAGTGGCTCAGTCGGTTGAGCGTCTGACTTCAGCTCAGGTCATGATCTCGCGGCTTGTGAGTTTGAGCCCCGCGTCGGGCTCTGTGCTGACAGCTCAGAGCCTGGAACCTGCTTCGGATTCTGTCTCCCTCCCTCTCTACCCTTCCCCCGCTCAGGCTCTGTCTCTGTCTCAAAAATAAACAAACAAAAAAATAAATAAAAGAAAGAAAGAAATGTGAGGAATTCTCAGAAGCAATTTTTAGAGCATTACAATTTTCCCTTTCAATTAAGAGCAGCCAACTTACAACAATCACAGGAGTCCTCCTGACTTATTTGAATATTATCATTCCTCACCTGGACAAAAGGTACTCTTCTAAGTATTAAGGACAAACATTTCTCAAGTCACCTTTACTTGTCAAAGTTTGATCTTCCGTCTAGATCTGGGATTGACAGACGTCAGAGCTCCACAACTCAAGCTGCAGGACTCAGAATCCATCGCCTATTTTTTAGATACATTAGTGAGCAAGCACAACCACAAAGTTTACAGGCCTCCGGTTACAGATGCCCATACACATCGATTCAACTTTACTTGATTTCAGGAAAGAAAATGCATATAGTGTGCTTTGTTCTGAAAGATCTTGCTCAGGGAACTTCCTCTAATATTTTCAGACACTCAGCTGATGAGATTTTTTTTTCAATGCTCACACCTACAACTGTGTATTCTGCTTACAAAAATGAAAACCAAGCAAAAAAATCACACAGGCAACTTGCCTATTATTATAAAAAAAAGGGGAATTTTTGGTGTATTTTCTTGTTTTTAGTACATTAACAAAAAACTTAAACACAGTTGGCTTGAGATATAAAGCAATTCAATTTAACCATTCCCGTAGGTAACCAAATGGATTCAAAGCCATTTAGATCACAAGCTGCAAAATGAAATAAACCTAAAGAGAACAGGGAGTAAGAAAGATCTAAAAATCTCTCTGGAAATTACCCATCTGCCAATCGGAATTTTATTCAAAGTTTACTTCCTGTAGCTGTCTACATTAATGATGCAAAGAAAGCTGGGAACATTTTGTGGGAACTGGTTAATATTTTATAAAGGTGACAACACTAAAATGTGTACACTTGTGTCATTTGGCCGGTAAAAAGTGTCAGAGGGAGAAACAGAGTGTAATGGTGAAGACGCAGTCACCACACAAAACTTGCTCAAACTTGAAATCGGCGTACAATTTAGGAAAGATTACGGAAACACGAACACAGGACTCAATCCCCTACATACGTCTGTTCCTGCTTCAAAAAACTATACCGCAAGTGTGATGCCACCAACCAAACATGTGCTGCAGGGAGTCTGAACGGCGACGCTGTAACAGAGGTGGCTGGGTAGAAGAAAATAAATGTGTTCTCATCATATTCCGGTATGCTAAAAGGCTGGTGTGTGAAAGCATTTGGAATAAAGCACTGCTGTCATCCTTCATTTTCAAAGGTGACACTACCTGACAGAGGATCTTGTCTGAAAAGATAAATTAGGGACCGTTACTCTTTTCTCCAGGGAGCATATATATATATAAGCCAGACCTTTGATTAGGAATCATCACTGCAATCTGCAATGCCTGCTGCCATTCGCAGCACTGCCTCCTAGACTTGAGGTCAGTCTTGGCTCCAAGCAATCAATTCCATTCCTGAGACTGTAAGGCCAGTCTGGCATTTGCTGTGGCTTCCCAGTCATCCAGGCTATTGGTTGTTTTATCTTATTATCTAAGTGTTACTGTCTAAGTGGGACTACGCAATGATAATCTAGGTTAAGAGATCGTGATGTGAATACAATAATCCCACTTAAAATGCTCAATAACTTTTACATAACCTTGCTTTTTCAAAAACTCATTTAACAAAACTTTTATGAAGTTATCCATGAAATGTTTGAAGGTTTTGTTATTGTTCCAATCAACTCCATCATTTACTAAACTAAATAAAAATGTTGCCTGGGCTTGGGTGCGTCTCTTCTAACACATCGCAGATGATTTTACCAGACTCTCATTTGGGCCATACGTTCATAATGAAGTCAAGATACATGTGGCACTGTAATTTGTTATTATCAGAGGTCACTTAAGTCCCTCGTGCAAGGTACAGATGAACTTGATTAAATAATCATCTTGTTATATCAAGCACTTGGGTGATTAGTAAATTGATGATTTCAATTACAGCAGCTCTCTAGCCTGGGACAGAAAAGTGTAGGAAACCTAAAACTAATCACGTTCTGAAATTATTGGATGTAAAATCACCAGAACAGGGGAAAGGTGTAACATCCTTTAACTCACTCCACCCCAAAGGAATGTTATCAATGAAGCAGAGAACATTCAGTTTTAAAAAATAAATCTTAGTGATAGGAATACATGCAATTTCTTACCTTCATTTTGCTTATCTGTATCTGTTTTATTTTCTTCATTGAATGTTGACTATTTTGTGCTAAGGGAAATGTTATTTTAAAAGCAAAGAGATTGAAGGTAGCACAATGTGTATTAATATTAACCAGCTTTTTGTTACACTTGATCAAAAACAATACACTCTCTGGCTCATAGCTTCCGTCAACAACTAACCTGCTCGGTATGGCCATGATTGAGGTTCTTTTTTACTGGACAACGCAAGTTGTACAACACTGATCTTGCTTCTCCGGCAGAGATGAATAGTTCATTTGCCTGACGATCTCAGCAAAAAGTTCATCCACCATTGATTTACTTTTTGCCGATGTTTCCATGAAAGGACAGCCCCATTCTTGAGCCAGAGCTCTGCCTTCGGAAGACATAACCTCTCTTTCTGGTTCCAGATCCACTTTGTTTCCTACTAGGATTAGTGGGACTTTTTCATATCTCTTCACTCTGACAATCTGATCTCTCATTGGCTTGATATCCTATTCAAATGATCACAAAAAGAAAAAAAGTCATGCAGTTTGCATAACCATAACAGAAGTTATTACAATATCACAAGATAATAACTCCTCGGGAAGTACAGAAAGTTTAATCCAAAATAAAACCATACACCTAAACCGAGAAAATGTTATTTTCTCCACTGAGGTAGGAACTAGATAATCTCCACAGACCTCAGCTGCTGGGTTTCTGTCTAGAATATAAAATGTAGGCTGCACACTAACTTTAGGACTCATTGAATCCCTTCTTTCCCCCAGTCTATGCAGATTTAAAAAGTTCCCAAATATGAGGAATCCATTTGTACAGAAGGATGTTTGGCTAGCTCCTTAATCCTCCCGGCTTGGCATCATTCCTGAAAACACCTGTTATCCCAGCACAGGACTGCAGCATCTATGCATTCCTAGCCATTTAGCAAGAGTGCTTGAGACAGAGTGTTTCAGGTGGGAACAAAAACACTGGTGCCTAGAAGACCAATTCAAAACAGATTCATACACTTAAACATTTTAGGCCTTTATTCCAGTAAAATCAGACACCTTAAAATACACGAGAAACGAATGTAACAGTGAGCAGCAGCTCCTGGGAGAGACAAACGTACTGAGGAGTCTGGGCGGGAAGAAAGTCATACTTTTATTTGCCTATGTTAGGTTTTACAGCTTGAATTTTCCTCCGACTGTCTCTAATTACAATTAACTAGGAAAGATAAGAGCCTCAGCAATTCTCAGGTAGCCTCAATTTTTGGGGGGTTATTGATTTACGGCAATTTCATAGATTTAATACTAATTGTACACTTTTTAAAAAATTTTTCATAACTTAAAAGGATTGACTTAAATATTAAACGTGTTTCATTTGAATAGTTACAGTGAATTGAGTATTCACATGCAAGACGAAGGAAAAACAGACAACTGAAAATTTATGAAAACAATTATTTCATGTTTGCAACAATTTCATTTGCTCATGTTATCAATTCCGTCTTCCAGGTTAAGCTTTTTTCCCTGTGTCCTTATGGAAACCCAAGTTCAAATTAGAAACCGAATGTATGACATTTAGGCTTGCAACAGTTTAAGTCTCTGCTGAAATAATGACAGTTTTTCACTCCCTATTTATGCCTATAAGAGAAGTAGATATAATGGAAATCATATGAAAAACCCTCCAAAAGGCTTCCAGCCTCAAGAGAGTCAGCTAATAGAATAACAAATCTCTAGAGGATCCTTTAGAAAGAAAATGCCTGTCAAATAGCACCTTTGGTACTTTCTGGGGAAAAATGCTTTTATGATACTATTACTGGTTTGGAGTTCAAGCCTACATAAAAAGTACTTTGGTTTGGTCACAATATTTATTATCTGTGAGGAAAAATATCCTGAAGTTGCTATATGTGGTTACTGGAAAACTTCACTATAGTACTGCAATTTAAATACTAAGAAAAGTGGAATTAGCACATTGTATTCGCTAGAGCACTTAACGTCTCTTAAGTAAGCAACATTAAGCACATACCTTTAAATGCAGAAAAAAAATATCCATTTCCTAAATCAATGGAGGTCAATAGAATGGGTCAATATGAGGTTATTTATTTTCGGGGAATAAATAGCAACATTTACTGCATCTCTTAAAATAATGTTAAACTTTCAGTCGGTCTCCCAGTGAAGGACAGGGCAGATATTCGGAAGAAACTGGACCAGCTCCAGCTCGGCCACCCAGCCAGGGTTAGAAATTTGTACTTGTTCTGTGTTCCCAGATCCACATATTTTGTATAAATATAGTCCGTGTTATCAGAAACAACTCGATCAACTGCAGGAGCGTCACTGCAGATTTTTGTTGGTTATATTCTAGGTACCAGTCTTTTCAATTAGTAACTTTCCTTCACACCCGCAAAGTAAAATGCCTAGAAGGCAGGTCTTCGGTTCTTCATCTTGCACCACTAAGATTTATGAATCTGGTTGAGGAACTTGGGTGAGAACAGAGGAAAAGGTGGGGAAGGCAGCCACAGAGGAGTTACAGATACCGGCTCCAAATAATTTTCCTTCCAAAGTGCCCTATTTACCTGAGTCCGTCTCTTAAACGTTGCTGTGTTAAGTACGTTAATCAATACTTGTTGAATTGAACCAGCAATTTTGGAAGGTTCTACCCAAGGCTAAACACAAACAGCCCGACCTATTCCTTTCTCACTTTTCCTGCGACTCAGAAATAACTTTAGAATATTTGTTGACGGTTGTTACTTTAGACTCTCTATAGAAACAACCCGATACTTTTCCGTGCCAGAAGTAACCTCAAAAATGCGCCATGTCTAACTTTTCAGAAAGCAAAACATACTCATTAACGCACTTCTCAAGCACACCAGAAGTAAATGTGGGATCACCACACCCCCTTGTAACAAATTACAAGACTCGGTCTGGTTACCTGGAAAGACTGTTGATTAACCAGGCTATAAACCAGGATGAAACCTTGGCCGTTTTTGATGTAGAGATCTCTCATGGAGGCAAACTGCTCAGTGCCCGCGGTGTCCAGAATTTCCAGCACGGAGGGGGAAGAGTCCACTTCGATCTCTTTGCGGTAGAAATCTTCAATGGTGGGGTCATATTTCTCAATGAAAGTCCCGGTGACAAACTGCACGGTGAGGGCAGATTTGCCAACCCCTCCGCTCCCTAACACCACTACCTTGTATTCCCTCATGAGTCTCACCTTCAGCAACTCCTACCAGAGGGAGGGAAAAGAACACCCCGCTAGCTGAGGCGGCTCGGGGAGGCGGAAGGTGGGCGGAAATCTGCGAACCGGGGAGGAGAGTGCGGAGAGGCAGAGGGCCCGACGGGGGAAGAAGAGGAAGTTAAAGGAGGGGGGGAGGGGAAAGAGCCAAGTGTCGGGTGGGTGGGGATGGGACGGTGATGCCCTTCCTATAGGAACTGCGGCCCAGGCAGGGGGCGTGGGGAGGAGGGCGAGCCCGGAGGGGCGGGGTGGGGAGACGCGCCGCGCCCCCGAGGGAAGCGGTGGGGGCCGCGGATGGGGAGGCCCCCGCGGCCACGGGCGGCCCGGCACCCCTCCCCCGCGCTTCACACAAAGGGGCCCAGGGACCCCGCTTCCTGCTCGCGCCGCGGGGCCGGCCCGGGCCTGTGGGCTCGGCTCCACTCACTGCCGCCCGGGCGGGTCTCTGGGCCGCGCGGCTCCCGCGGGCGTCGTCCGGCCTGTGGAGGGAGAGGGGGCGCGTTACCCGCCGCCCCCCCGCCCCAGCTCCCGCCCGGACCCGGCCGCCTCCGCCAACGCCGTCGCTTACCCCGCAGTCCGCACCCGCCCGGCCGCCCCCCGGGAGGTTCCGTCACGCCGAGGCCATGGCCAGCGGCCGGCTCCTCCGTCTCACCGCCGCCCCAGCGCCGCTGCTCGCGGAGGGGAAAGGGGCGGGGGCCGTCCGGCGGCGGCGGCGGCGGCGGCCACTCCAGGCGAAGCCACCTCTTTTTTTTCTCACCCACCCCCCACCCCCACCCCCCCAGCACACACCCGGAAGGGTTTCCCTGACACACTGGCTGAGGTGCCCCAGTTCCCCGAGACTGGCCGGGATCACTTCCGGTGGGGAAAGTCCCACCTCTCCGGGGCGAGCCGGGTGGCGCTGGGGCCGCGCCCTGCCGAGCGAGGCGGCCGGGGACGCTCCCGGGTCGGGGCCGCGGCCTTGGCATAGGGCCTCGCTGAGGAGCTCCGGCGGCCTCCCTCTCCCCGCCCGCTGCCGCCGCCGCCGTCCCACCCCGAACCCGCTGCAGCCCCTGCGCGTCTCCGCGGCCTGAGGACTCGAGCGGCTGGTTGGCCGGAGCGGGAGGGCCGGCGATCATCTAGCCGCCGGGAGAGCGCCAAACATCCCTGGACTAGAAGTGACGAGGAAAATAAAGCAGCCAAGAAAGTTTATTCTCTTTGCTGGTATTTCTTCCACTTGACGCTTGTCTGAGAAACGCGTGCGAACTCCCTCTAGACTTCGCTATTGCACGGCTTTCGTCGGTGATGGCTTTTACTTAGCCGTGCCTGACAAATCATTAAACACACACGGTACTTTTATCATCCGGCAGATCTGCTCAACTCCACCAGCAAATGCCAGAGTCACCCCTTTCCTCCGTATCACAAGGCTCAAAAACAACAGGACTAGAAATAGACTTTATCTGACAGTAACTCAGCTTTGCCCCCCTATTTGATTCCAACCGCTACACAGCAGGAAAGGTAAGCAACGCTCAGGGAACAGTTGATTGGAAATGTTTCAGGCCGACTAACTGCTTTGAATCTTTTCTTACATGCATGCACTGCAGTTTGCGTGGCTGGCTCTTCCACGCTGAAGTTTGTTTTAACGGTCATCCTTCACGGTCATTGAAACGCACAAGGGAAGGACTGGTGTTAGACACTAAGTTTCTATTTTTAGATAAAATTGTTACTTCTTTCCTATCTTTCCCTCTGCTGACTTTCCATTTGTAAACTTCGTGTCAGCTCCACAGAGCCCCGGGGCCAGAAGGCTAGGTTATATTTCAGGCACGTCACTCCCTCTTTGATTCAAGCATGCACCCAGAAACCTGAGATACTCGGTGGCCAGTCGAGTTAAATTGATTCCAAATTCCCTGACTTGCAAGCCCCCACCAGCCAGACCCTGTACGAAGAGATTTATTACCAAACCCGAACTGGCAGACATTAGAAAGCAGGCAAATCACGGTAGTGTGAAGTTCCCGCTGGGTCTTTCGCGGAGGATTCCCCAATGTCACTTACAGTAGCCAAAGGACGGTTTAGTTCAATTTCTCCTCGGCTCAGGGCTGCTGCAATCTGTCCAGCGAAGTCCCCAGCTCTGGCTCCAGCTGGCCCGAGTCCCGCCTGATATCTGAGGCACTGCCCTCTGCTGGAAGAGGCTGGTTTAGGAGGTAGGAGTCCCCTCATAGGTCACTGCTCCTTCCACACGTGCCGTTGCCCGATTTGGAGCTCTGCTGCCCATCTCCCTGTCTTGCTGTCTCCAGACTGTCTGGTGGGACCCACAGCCCTGCACCAGCCCTGATTGTAACTGAGTCTGCAAATTCCTCTTCTGACCCAGCAATCGCTGTTGAGCAACAGCAGCAGGCCTCTGCTCTGTTACTAAACTGTCACAATAGGGAACTCTTTGAGGTTGTCCCACCTGTTGGCAACTCTCATGGCTCTGATTGTGTTGGCCAAAGTGTTTTGGAGAGAGTTCTTTGTTTCTCCACACAGTGGAACATGCTCCTCCCTTCACTACAGAGTCCCACTGGGTCACTCTTATCAGCTACAGGGTTGACAAATGTCCCACTCAGTGTGAAGCTCCCTCCGAACTTTCTTGGGAAGGGGATTCATTACAGCAACACTTAGGAAAGCAAACAGTTGGAAGTAGCTTAAATGTCCTTCAGTAGACAATGCAAAAAGTAATTGTCTAGTGTGTGTGTGTGTGTGTGTGTGTGTGTGTGTACATTCGCAAAATGGATACTATTCAGCTATTAAAAAGAAAAGATTTGTAAGTGCTGATATGAAAAGATGGTCAGGATATGTGATAAGGCTGAAAGCAAGACACTGAGCAAATATACAATTGCTCGCACCTACGTAAAATATGTGGGAGTGTGTGTGATATATAGTTACATAGACATTAAAACCTAAAGGAAGTCATGAACTATCCATGTGAAGTATTCTAAAAGGACTTCCATTTCTCCATCACATTTTAGCTTTTAAACAATGATCAGATGTTATTGGGGACAGGGGGAATAAATATAATTTTATAATATTTTTAAAGGAGAAAAAAAAAGTTATTGATCATTACTTCCCCAAAAAACAAAATCCTGACTATCTAGGGGTCAGTGGACAGGTCGGCCCAAGTTAAACTCCCTCCCGCTGCCTGTTCTTTCCTCCCCAAACATCTCTATACTTAGAAAAGTATTTTCACATACATTATCTCATTAGACTCCAGTTGTTCGCCAGTTTACTTTTATTAGGCAATGAGAGTATAAAAACCAATTCCAAGGGCACAATTGAGTGCCAAGGGCTCTGAACTGAACACACAGGCAGTGAAACCGCAGCTTGCCCACCTCCTTCTCTGGGACACCTCAAGCAAGTGATTTCACCTGCCCAAGGGTCTAACTCCTCATCTGTAAAATGGTGCTAACCATTCAATGTGAGAATACAGTGAAGCAGTATAGGTAAAATGCTTAGCTCAGTTCATTGCTCGTGAGGAACACTGAATGAATGCTAGCTGTTTGGTTTTATTTAAAAGATTTAATAAAGTGTTATTTTTTTAAGGCAGTGAACATAAAGAGGAAAACAAAACTTTAAAAGCCCAAGTATCTCCCAGTGGCACAAAAATAATAAGCGAGTTACTCTTTCCAAAGATATTTGTCGTTAAAAGCTTCTTGAGTTTCAGGGGAAAATGTTATTTAGATGCTGGTATATCTGTCAATCCATCTTCTATATGTATTTTTAAAACATAAAAGTGATCTTAGTATACACACCGTTCCCCACCTTGCTTGTTTTCACTTACTGTATCTCGGTAATTGAAAGAATTGCAACAAAATGGTATTGCACTGAAAATTCTCTGGTGAGTATTGCTAAATTGTCCTTCAGAAAGATCATACCAATTTACATTCCTACCAACACAGTATGACCGTATGTGGTTTTTTATAACCTCATCCTAGGTATTACTAATTTTATAGCTGTTACTTGCTTCAGGGTATGCTCAGGACTAAGCAATGTAGGGTAGTATCATAGAAGGAATTCGGGCTTCAGAGTCAAATCTTCCTAACGTCGTTTGCCAGCTAGATCTTCATTCCCTCGTTTGTAAAGTTGGACATAATAGCAGTATCTAAGCTCATAAGGCTCCTTTGAAGAATAAATGAGACGATGCAGTCAAAGCACTTAATTTTCTAAACACTAACTGCTTAATACATGTAAACTGCTCAGATAATAACTTTCCGCTCCCAAGGTTCAAGGATGGGGGAGGGCAATTTCTCCAGAGAGTATGCCCTTGAGATTTAGAACTTTTGCTTTAATTCCGAATCAGCCTCCACTCCAAAGTAACTATTGCTCAGGGAAGCATTTGTAAGAACACAGCTGATTTTTAGCGTTGTGAAGAAATCATAGGGTATAAACTGTATGCAGAACATGTAACTTACAGGTACACAATCCTGTTTTATGCAATTAGCTTGGCACAAGTTTAAAGTGTGAACGTTTGCTTCGGGCACCGGTTGTTCACTTCTGTTATCCCTCCCTTTCCAGTTTATACCTCTTTCGGTTGCAAACCCTGCAGCCATGAACTGTTCTGGATCGTTTTCCCTCCCTCACTTCCACCCTCCCAGTGAGCCCTTTCACCTTCCAGATCCTGGGAAGAAACCCAAGCCCCGTTCTAGTCGTGTCCCAGACGCTTCCTTCTCTTTGGCTTGAAGTTGCCTTTGGATTAGCAGAACCCGCGTCAGTAGTGTCCTGGGTCATTGCCTCCGGAATCTTCGGCAGGGCATCGCCTCTTCTTATTTCAGTGCTTTAGGGAGGCCCCTTGATACATATTGTTCTGGGTTCTTCCCAGCTCCTTCTAGCCTCTGAGATTCCAGTCTTCCTTTTCAAATCCTGCCTCCAGCTACACCAGCTGCTGGTTCTGCATATCAGTCTCCCCAGGTACACAGAACCAATTTTATAACTTTATTATCTCTTTCTCATTATAAAAAAAGTTCTTTGCAAAAAAACTCTTTTTTAAAAAGGTGAAATACCACTACCCAAAGAAAATCACCATAAAATTTTAATTCCTTTCACTGTATTTTTCCCTGAGAGTGAAAACATATTTTTTAAACTAAGAATGTGGTCGTGTAATTTTGCACGCTGCATCTTCCACTTACTGAAACTTCACGTCGGCATAAAGAATTAAAAATACCCATGTACCCCTCAAAGTCTGGGTATGCCTTCTTCCCCATAGTGTCACCTCTCTTACAACCCCAACTATGATTTAATCACATTCCAACCTTGCCCACCTGGAATACTTCACCCAACCAATGGGATTTCATGGGAAGGGCTACTTACGGCAGAAGTCACTTCTCCAGCCTGGCCAGGAAAACACTCCTATAGAGGCACAAAACTCTTCTTTTCCTGATGTGACAGCAGAGAAAGTTCTCTCTCTAGGAACTCAGGGGCCTGCTAAATAAGAGTGTAATACACTGATCTGAACTCCTTAATCCTTCTCCCTCTCTATTCCATCTTTCCTTTCAAATATAGTAGTGAGGAAAGTATTTTGTAATCTGTTAAGAACTAAATACATTTAAGGACTTAGTATTAATAATAAACATAATCTTTTTTGTTGTTTATATATGCATGTTTATTGGCAATTTAAATCCGATGTATAAATATACTCGCAACTTACAGGCACTTGAAGGTAACCTGGAGGATTGTAAAATACAGAAGGTGGGGCCCCACCCCCCAGCTTCTGATGCTGGGGTAGGGCAGATAATTTGCATTTCTAAGTTCCCCAATGCTGCTACTGCCGGTCCAGGGACCCCACCTTAAGCACTGCTGTTGTAAAAAAAGTGGTGGGACTTTATACTTGGGCCTTCCCTCCTCAATATTCAATGGTTTACCTATTCATTCATTCATTCATTCATTCAGTCAGTCAGTCAGTCATTCGATACACATTGATTACATTCCTACTCTGTGGCAAGCACTTTGCCAGATAATGGGAATAAAAAGATGGATAAGACACAGTGTCCTAAGGAGTTCATGGCCTTTTGAAGAACACATACAATGAAATCAATAGTTACTACAATGTGACAAGTGTCATGATACAGATATGGCCAGGGTGCTCTGGGAGACTCAGGAAGGGCATTAGGGAAGGTTGTTTTTTTGTTTTGTTTTTTCAGGAGGTGATTGGGCTGTAGGTGAGGAGGTCAGAAGGGTGGGGGGGGGGGGCAGTAGAGCCAGATAAAGCAAAGCCTTGTGTAGTAACCTGAGGGGTGTGACCTTTCCCCTGAAGGCTGTTGGAAGTCATGGAAGGTGATTTTACAAAGGTCAGGGAGTACTACACTGAGCCAAAGTAGGGGATTCGGCACCCAGGCCCAGGTTCAAATATTGGTCGTGATGCTTATATGACCCAGGGAAAGTTACTTAACCTTCTCTGAACCTCCCTTTTGGCATGTGTAAAGGGGAAAATAATGTCTGCCTCATTTAGGTGTTGCAAAGACTAAGAAAAAGTACCTAAATGCCTGGCA